CTATGCTACATACCCTTAAGTTACTAATCCAAATTCCTTTTATTTATTTTTGCTGTTTTCATATTTTATCATGTATAAAGCCAGGAAATAAACTTTTGGATATTGTTACATTTATTTCCTACTATCATTTTCTTTCTTTCTTTTTTTTTTTTTTAAGAGGTTTTCGCTATAGGGCGCAAGCGCTCGCCAGACAGACAGAGAGAGACAGAGAGCAGAAAGTGAGAAATCACCCCCCAGGGGGGATGACCATGCCACAATCCCTTCTCCTCTATTCTCCTCTCAAGATATTGGGCACGCACGCACACGTGCACAGCGTGAGTTTTAAGCCACCAGGTCCGGAACGCGAACCACAGTCGACTACATGGGAGTCCGGCGACACAGCCATTATGCTAACTGCTGGTCCCTCCTACTATCATTTTCTAATAGTTGAGCTTCCAGAGTCAAAGGGCATGCATGATTTTTATATACATGCAGTCAACTCACCTTCCAGAACAGTGTTGCAATCAACACTGCTATCTGCAATGTGTAAGACTGCCCCTTTTCCTTGACTTCTCACCAGTACCAAGTATTATTACTGTCTTTGATCTTTATCAACTCAGCTGGTGAAATGCAGAAGCCAATTATTCTAAATGAGCAATCTAAATATTAAATGAAGGTGTTTTTCATCAAGTGCCCATTGACATTTCATTAGTAAATTACCTGTTTATGTCCTTCATTCATTTTATGATTGGGATGTTGATCCATTCTCACATGTAAGTCTCTTGGTATGTAAAAGATATTAAACTATTTTCTGTTATAAATATTCCTCTAGTTTCTTTTTACCTCTTAATTATTTCTAATGTATACATTCTAGTAACTAAAATCTATAAATAATTTTCTGTTCTATTAGAACTGCATACACAGAATATATGATACTGTAGAAGAAATATTCATCTATAAAATTTTTGGTTTCACTTCTTAAATTGTGAATTCAATTAAATTTTACTTCCATGTAGAAATAATTTTAATGCATGGTGTGGCATATGCATCTAACTTCATTTTATTTTACTTTTTTTAGGTTTTTGGCATAGGGTGCATGCACTTGCTGTAAAGCAAGAGACAAACAAAAATAGAGAGAAGGAAAGTAAGAAATGACCCCCCCAAGGGGGGGGGTGGCCACACTACAATCTCTTCTCCTCCATTCTCATCTTGGTATTGTGGGCACGCAATGCACATGTGTATTTTCAAGCCTCCAGGTCCAGGACTCAAACTGCAGTCAGCCATGTGGGAGTCCAGCACTGTAACCTCTATGCCACCTACTGACCTCTCTATTTTAAAGTACTTTCATTATTGTTCCAGCATCATTAAATAATTCATCTCCTCCCTATCAAATATGAAATGCCTGTATAAACATGGATCTACTGATCTTTCTATTCTGTTCCATTGATTTGTGTGTCTAAATACTTCCATACCAACACATTGTAATTTTGATGGATACAAACATGGAGTATTAGTAGTAATGTTAGGAATTAGCTCAGGAAATAGATTATCTGAGTTTAAATCCCTGTCCTACCCTTACTAGCTGCATGGCTTTCAGAAAGCCTGCTAATGTCTCTGTGGCTTAATTTCTTCATCAATAAAACAGGGATAATAATCATCTCCTCATAAAATTGTTGTGAAAATTAAGATGAGTTTATGGATATAAAGTAATCACTTTACTTGAACAGTGCCTGACACACAGAACTCAGTAAATATTACCTACTGTATCCATTTCCTAGGGCTGCTATAGCAAAGTATCACAGACCGGATGGCTTCATCAAGAGAAATGTATTGTCTCACAGTTCTGGAGGCGAGAAACCAGAAATCAAGGTGTCAGCAGTGTTGGTTCCTTTGGAGGGCTGTGAGAGAGAATCTGTTCCCTGCCTCTCTCCAGTTTCTCATGGTTTTCTGGCAAGTCTATGTTCCTTGGCTTGCAGAGGTATTACTCTAATGCAAGCCTTCATCAACGTGTGGATTTACTCATGTGTACATTGTCTTCTGTCTTTGTGTCTCAATGCCCCCTTTTGATAAAAGACACCAATTACCAACCATACTGGATTAGGGTCCACCCTAATGACCTCACCTTAACTTGATTAAATCTTCAAAGACCCTATTTCCAAACAAGGTCAAATTCTTAGGAACTGGGGGTTAAAATTTCAAACATACCTTCTTTTGGAGGATACATTTCAACGCAATAACAGCTACTATTTATCATACAACTTTAATATGGAATGATGAGGGTATCAGACAATTTAGTCTTAATAATGACTTTAATATCAATGTTTCTAATTTTTCATGGAAAATGATATTAGCTTTTGAAAAACTTGTTTGTTTGGCATTTTAAGAACTTCTCTCAGGCCAGACAGGGACATGGTGGTTAAGGTGGCTGGATCCCACATGGTTGACTGCTCGGTTTGAGTCCTGGACCCAGCAGCTTGAGAAATACATTGGGAGCATGTGTGTACATAACCAAAATTCCAAAAGGAAGAAATAGAACAGTAAGGATTATGGTGTGCAAATTCTCCATAGGGGTGCTTTCTCACTTACCCTCTTGAGGTAAAAAGTATACACACCCTCCAGCAAAAAAGAAAAGAAAAGAAAAGAAAAGAAAAGAAAAGAAAAGAAAAGAAAAGAAAAGAAAAGAAAAGAAAAGAAAAGAAAAAGAAAAGAAGAAGAAAAGAACTCATCTTTTAATTTCTAGTTGACCAAAGCATTTGGCTTATTGGGTTGCAAATTACGTTTTTAGAAATGCATTCATTCATTCATTCATTCCGTGAAAGAGACAGACATAAAGAGGGAGGTAGAGAGACAAGAGAGAGTGAGGCACCCAAGCAGGGTCTTCATGCTATGATTCATCCCCAGCCTTAGCCAGTCCAGATCATGGCAATTCATAGATACAGGCAGACCTTGGGATGGGAACCAAGGACCTTCCCACACAGCTTTAGCTTCATGGAGCACTGCATTATCACTATGCCACCATGACTGTCCATACTTGCTAACTTCTAAATAAGTGAAATTTTGTCAAGCACTTCCTGGAGACTACTGAACTAATCACATGGTTTTCTATTTTGATTTATCCATGCAACATTAATTAATTTCCTAATGTTGAAATTTCCCTGCATTTCTAAGATAAATCCTATTACAGAGTAGTGCATTATTTTTTTAACATTACCACAGATGCAGATTTACGAGTTTTGTTGTTTTGTTTTGCTTTCGATGCTTGCATTCATCTTCATTTGTATAGTTGTCCTCCATACTCCCTGGACAAATTTCACAACCAGACTTCCTTTACTTTCTCAGGAAAATGATTTGTCGTTCAACACTAGGTACCCTTCTTCAATCAGTGTATCTCCTAGAAACTACTTCAAGAATGAGGCACAAGGGTGACAGCTTTTTTAGTATCCAACCTGTTTCATTTCAGTATGTACATGTTTTCTTGTCATGTCAACTCATTTCAAAGAAGACAAAGTGATTAGCCTCCTGTGTTCATATCTGCCTTCTTTTCCAGAAGCCTGGGCCCATTGCATATGCTTGCATGAATCACCCATCGAGGTAATGCTGATTGTTTCCATAGTCCTTAGATCCTTAGTACCCAGTTCAAACACCAACTGCATGTGCTCCATACAATAAGTGTTACTTAGCAATAAATAAGAACTATTGATATATGCAATGTAGATGAGTGTCAAATGTTTTATGCTAACTGACAAAAGACAGATTCAAAAGGCTACATACTACATGAATCCACTTATCGGGCATTCTGAAAACACAACAGATCAGCGGTTACCAAGAGTTCAGGGGAAGGGAAGAGACATGACAACAAAGAGACATCGTGAGGGAATTTAGTCAACATAAAATAAGTACTTATTAATATATATAGGTAAGGGTACGGGTGAAACAAAATTGGCCATGAGGTAATAAATATTGAAGCTGGGCAATAAGGGTCCATTATGTTATTCTGTATACTTCTTTGGTATATGTTTGAAGCCTTAAAATACGCAGTTTAAAAAAAAATAATAACCAGCAATAAACACACAGCTCTGAATTTGTGTGAGGCAGAGCCCTGGAAAACATGACCCTTGGGTACCCTTTCCTACTCTAATTATCTGAATGCTTAGCCCTCTCTAAATGTCCTACTTCATGAATGTGCTACCCAATGACTTAATAAACCAAGAGATAAAGAGAAAAGAGAGAGATAATTAAGGAAACAGAAGCAGCACAAACTTTGGCCATCCAAGTGAAATGGCTGTGCTAATGTCTTTGTTAATGTCTCGTGGTCACAGCAAAGAGGAAATCCCTCCCAAGATTGTAGACTTTGCCAGTTTAGGGCCTCACCAGGACCCCTGCTGCAATGCACAATGTGCCTGAAAATCTGAGCTGCCATTAAAAAAATACGCACTTACGGTGTTACTCAGAGGTCCCATAGTGTGACCGTTCCACTTCTCAGGAAGCACTCTGAGGCTTGACCAGGGTATAGGTATGATGACCTGTGGGTTTCTCCCCTGCCAGTGGGGAACTAAGCTTGGAGGTTCTCTGAAAGATTCTTTCTGGTCTGTATAAAAGCTTTGGATTGGAGTCCTGGCTGTTCCCCTGGGTCTGAGAAGGCTGCCCTATGAGGTAACGCATGTCTACCTGTAGAATGGACCAGATGATCCCATGCACTCCAATCTGTGCAGCTCAGAGTAGGAGGCAGCCCCCTTAGGAATATCTTTCACAATAGGACTGCAGTCTTACTGCTGGAAACTGATGAAGCTATTTTCCTCACTAAGGTTCATGGTTACCAAAGGTAGATCCAAGAAAAGTTGAACAACCAAACAAAGATCTCTTGCTTCCTGCCTTTCTATCATCATGAATGGAAAGGAGTTCACCTGTGCTAAGGCACCTGAGAGGTGTGGCAAGCACGACTGTCCCCATTTCACTGACAAGTTAACCATCTCCAGAATTCACACAGTTAGTAACACAGCTGATGTTTAAACCAGGTTGGGGTGTTGTATGAAAGGAGAGAAGGTTAACACCCCCCTTGACAAGGATGGAAGAGGCCCTCGGGCCTTACAAAAGACCTACAGAAAAGGCATTGCAACCTACTTCGTGGCATCTAACCAATGTTTCTATAAAACTACAGTGGAAAACACTGGTGAAACTCTGGGAGACATTGGGGTAGGCAAGGACTTCTTAAGCAAGACCCCTAAAGCACAGGCAATAATCCCCAAAACAGACAAGTGGGATTACATCAGATTGAGAAGTTTCTGCATAATGAAGGACACAGTAAATGCGTGTGAATCAACAACCCTCGGAATGGGAGAAAATTTTTGTAAACTATGCCTCAAATAAGGGACTGATAACCAGAATATGCAGGGAACTCAAGCAGCTTACCCGGAAGAAAATGATTAACCCAATTAAAAGATGGGAAAATGAGCCGAATAAGCAAGCCTCTAAGGAAGACATACAAACAGCCAAAGAGCATATGAAAAAATGCTCAACATCCCTCAACATAAGGCAGATGCAGATCAAAACTACAATGAGATACCACCTAACCCCAGTCAGAATGGCGTAGATTAAAAAAACCTTAAAACATTAAAACATCCTGACAGGGATGTTGTGAAAGGGAAATTCTCATGCACTGCTAGTAGAAATGTAAGATGGTTCAGCCACTGTGAAGAACAATATGCAAGACCTTCAAATAGAACTACCATATGATCCATCAATTCCACTCCTGGGTATGTACCCAATAGACAGGAAAACAGTCAGAAAAGTGCTTACACAACTATATTTATTGTGGCGTTATTCATGATCGCTAAGACATGAAACCAACCCAAATGTCCACAAACAGATGAATGGATTGAAAAAGTGTGGCACATATACTCCATGGAATACTATTCATCAGTAAAAAAAACAGAACTCTGGCATTTGATAGAAAGTGGACAAACATGGAAAATTTATTGCTGAGTGAAGCAAGTCAGTCTATGAAATAGAGGCATTGTATGTCTCCACTGAGCATATACCAACTGTCTACACTCTATGGTAGAGATTGAAAGACTGGAGGACCTAAAAGCATTGAAAATTGTTATGGACACTGGGGACAAAGTGGAAGGAGAGTAGGAGAGTGGAAGAGTGCAGGAAGGGAAATTTGGGGGAAAATGGAGAAGTAAGACATTTGTAGGACACAGATATCGTTTATTGGCCTGTTGGTGATGACATCATGTATAGTATTCTCAACTCGCCTGGTGTGTGGTGTATATCATGTTGGGTAAAATCTCTTTAAAACCTAAATGATGTATAGCAATTTAATGTATAAATAATAATAATAATAAACAGGTTGGAGTGGGGGATGGAGAGGGTTAACTCTCCTCCTCATCATCCTATATGAAAAAGAATGTCCAATGTACTGCACACACCTCAGGAGGATGTATGAACAGAGAACTCTTATTCATCCATCCTCAGTCATGTAGGAACTGCTCATTTGATTGGTAAAACTTGTCACTGCTCAGGTCACGGTGGTTCAGAGGTTGATCTCTCTCCTTCTACTGCATCTTTGCCCACATGAGTTCTGCTGCCCAGGCCTTTTGATCTGTTCCCCATCTCCTTCCAGTCTAGGTACAGTAAAAGCCCATCTGGGCAAGGTAAAACTCATCATTCTGTATCTCAAAGACCAGTACTAAGCTGTAAGCCAGTACTGCCTGGGCATGCAATAGAGTGAGAGAGTAGGTAAGGGAAGAACCCCATGTTAATAATGATGAACTTCCCAAGCCCTGTCCTCCTGCCTAAGAAATGCCTCCACCCTCTGAGTTCCAGGAAACAGCTTACTGCAAAGAAAATGCCCTTCACCACACTGCTTAGGTAACACTTATGGAGTACTCGTTACCCAATGACAAGGCCACACGCAGACCCTCAAATTGTTTCAGAAATGGCTATTTGAGTGGCTTACACTAGCCAATCTGGACAAACTACCCAATAACATGACTTGATCAAATTTTAGCCAGGCTTCTTTCCTCCCCACAGACACCTGCAGGATACTGGTCAACCATAAAGAACACTCCCACTTTAGTTCATCCACCAGGCCACCTGCTCATCATCACCACTCCAATCATTCTCCCCACTGTAACCATTCTCTTCTTATTGCAGTGGTCCTCCTTGAGAAAGTCTTTCTTACTATTATTTGAACCTCAAAAATTTTTTGAAGGACAGGAGGAGCACTGTTTCCAGGCCAGGAAGAAGGGCTACAATGTTTTCTCAAGACTTCAGCACAGTTTATGAGGTATGCTATAGTCAGGGGCTAGCAAGTGCTTGTGTGGATTAAAAGGACTGGCACTTGATTCTGGGTTTTCTGTATTTGTGCTCCATCAGTAAGATCTCTGAGGAGAAGCTGGACAAGCAGGCAGGACTTGGTGCCCTAAACATCTAAACCCAGCCTGCCTCACTCTCTTAGTCTCATTCCACTCCTTATCATCAAGAGAAGCCCTCTAGCCCATTCAGTCCAACCCACACAGCTCAATAAAGAGTAAGTTGAGAGGCCAGCAGGTGGCAGGGTGGTTAAGGAGCTAGAATCCCATATGCCAACCATGGTTTGATTCCTGGACCTGGAGGTTTGGGGTTTGCACCGGGCATGTGTGCATGCATGCCCAGAATCCCAGCAGGAGGAAGAAGGGTTTGTGACATGGCCATCCACTGTGGGAGGCAATTTCTCACTTTCCCTCTCACTGTCTGTCTCTCTGTCTCCAGCGAGTGAGCTTATCCTAGGGCAAAAACGACAACAACAAAAAGAGTAAGACAGATTTCGCACCACAAAGCACACCAGCTTCTGTTTTTCAGGGCCTGGGCTGACACCTGGACAAAAAGCAGGCAAATGAAAGGTCTCTCTGCTAAAACAAAACACAGAACACTCCTAGGGAAATGTTGCCCTCTGGGGTCTCCAGTACTGGTATCCCCTAGAGAAATCCCAAAGGGACACCCTCTATTTGTAGAATTTAAATGCACATTTTAGGAAACACACCTGCTGGGGGCTCAGGGCAGCAGGAGCATTAGATGTACTCTCAGTGTTTCTCCTACTTGATGCTTCTTTCTCCTCCCACGATTGAGGGAAGTTGTACCCTGCAGTCTGAGCTCTTTTTGAGGACTGAAACATTGGTCTACAGATGGATGACAATGGGAATATGAGGCCAAGCTTCAAAGACATGAGAGTGATGGCCAGTCTGTGGGGCTGCACCAGAGAAGCCAGCTGGAAAAGGCTGAGGCCAGGTGGCCAAGTTCTTAACAACTTTTCAAAAACAGGAGTTATGTATGATTCTGAGCTGGCAGATGGTAGATTCAAATCCATGAAACATCTCGCAGTGCACACTATGCGCCAAGCCTGAGGTAAATGTTTTGAAATATTATTTCATTAAAGCTTTACTACCAGAAAGAAATAATTTGAATTAAAGTTACAGAGACTTAATACTGAAATAGAATGGGAAAAACCCTGTGGACAAGCAGAAAGACCTTGGGATTCCCCACCTGTTAAATGTAGATACCTTTGTTATACACTCATTTGCATATTGATTTCTTTTTGTTCATTCCCTTAGTCTAGTTCAACAGATACTAGACTGCAGCATGAGGAGAATTACTCAACCAAACTTTTTATGGTGTCTTAAAGGATATTCCAAGGTTAATTTTGACAATGTACTATTCCCAATTAACTGCTGATAGCAGAAGTCAATCCCCACCTAAGATCAAGTCCACTGTGTTACACAACTTATAGTCATCACATAGGACAGTCTGGTGAGCACAGGTACAGGTGAGGCCCTTAGCATTTTGAATGTCCTAGAAGATGAAAAGTATATTAAAAGTGCTCTAGCTGTCCCTGCCACATACAATGTAAGGATGAATAAAGTGGACAAGATGAATCCAAGAAAGAGAACAAAAATAAGCGAATGAGGCCAGGTGGTAGTGCAACAATAATGCAAATAGACCCACATGGGACTGGTCCTGGGTTTTCATCCCACAACCTCCCTGAGCTCATTACTGGCATTTACACATGTGCCAATAATTCAGGCTAACTGAGATCGCAGATGGATCATGTCACGAAGACATGATCCACGGGGGTATATGTGCCCTCTCAGAAGCAATAAATATTTTTTTAAAAAAGAAGAAAAGCGACTTTAAAAAAAAAAAATAAGAGACTAGATTAACAAATGGTGGCAGATCCTTACCACAGAACACTACTCCACGGGAAATATACACACAATGAGATAGATGAATCCTAAAAAGAATAAAGTAACAAAGAACATATTCCATAGATGCACAAAAGAACATATACCATATTATTCCTCTGATATAAAATTGTAGAAATGGCAAAACTATAGTATCAAAAAGTGGATAAGAGGTTGCCTAGGGCAGGGACTAACAAGGGAGAGAAGGGAGAGGAAGTGACAGAAAGCCAAAGGGGGAAAGAGGAAGAGAAGTTTTTCAGGATGAGGGAGAAATTCCAAACCACTTTTTTCTTTTGTTTTGTTTTCAAATTTTTGCCAAAGTGTGTGGCCACTTGAAGGAGTGACAGAACAAAGAATGTGGTGTGTGTTGGGCGGGAGCATTTCAGTTCTTAGAAAGCACCAGCTATGGGAAATGGTCATATCACAATCTGTACTCCCTCATTTTCCCCTCGTTTTCAGGATTTGGGGCATGCGCACACACATGCCTGGCGTGTTTCTCAAGCTACTAGGTCCATCCAGCACTAGAACTTCGTAGTAAGCCATGTGGGATACAGCCAGCTTAACCATCATGTGATTGGCTGGTCTCCAGCAATTGTGTTTCTTGATGTGATGGTGGTTAAATGACTCTATACAATGACCAACATTCACTACACTGTATGCTTAACTTTTGTATTCTAGAAATAATACCTTAATATATTTAAGCGAGGCAAGGGCAGCCCTGTAGCCTAGGAGTTAAGGGAGCCAGATCCCACATGACTGACCATGGTTTGAATCCCAGTTCTGGGAGTTTGGAAAACATACCAGGTGCATGCGTGTGTACCCAAAATTCCAACAGGAAGGAGAAATGGGGGAGAAGGAATTGTGATGTGACCATGTCCCATTGTAGGGGTGCTTTCTCCCTCTCGAGATCTCTCCCCCTCTCTGTC